AGTCACTGCCTGGGTCCCTGTGCCCAGGCGGCCCTCGCCTCCTGGCCAGGGCTGGCAGGGCAGCGTCCTGTGGGGCAGGAGCAGCCAGCCTGGGCAGTGGCGCTGTCACGGCCCCTCCAGAAGCAGGGAGGCCCTGAGTTGGGGGCAGGACATGTAGGGAGCCACCCCGCCCTGCACCCCACCACTCTGCCCGGCAGTGTCAAGGCACAGTGGCTGGGAGGTCAGAGGGCAGTGGGGCTGGGCTTTTCGGTTTGGACTCTGCTACCCACACTCAGGAGCAAGAAGACCACCTAGACTGGCTGGTGGTCTCAGGCCACGACGCCCTGTGGGGGTCCTGCCCCTGGGAGGGGCTGCCAAGGCCTGACCTGGGGGGGGTGAGGCGAGGTCTCCTGGGCAGGGTTCTAGGCCTGGCGGGCACCTGGCCACGGTCAAGAGGTGTGGGGCTCTGCAGCAAGATGGGGCACAGCCCGCGCGGCTGTGTCTCCCAGAGAGGAGAGACGCCTGGAAAGCTGCGTGGCCCGCCCCAGGGGGAACGCACACCGCGTTGCAGGCTGCCATGGTGGGCAGGCGAAGAGCCATCACAGACAGGCCTTGGCTGCTGGCTGGACAGTGGCCCGGCCTCTTCCTCCCTGGCTGTCTGCGGGGAGTACCCCAAAGGGGCCCCCTCTTGCTCCTCAGCAGCCCGGGGGTCCCAGAGGTCTCTGAATCACCTGAGACTCCCAGAGGCCAGGGTTGTTGAGGGTGCCCAGCCCAGTAGGCAGCAGCTGGCTGCTGGGGACAGCCCCAAGGTGGGCCTCCCCAGCCCAGGGCTTGTGCCCAGCAGCCTGACACCTGGGACCCCAGCAGGACATGGCCTGGAAGTAGCCCTGACCACCCCCACCTCAGGGAGCTGGTGCCCAGTGGTGGCATTTCCAGAGTGGCTGGTCACCTCCTGTCCCAAATTAGGAAGCAAGGCCAGATCTGCCCAGTGTCCACGAAGGGTACAAGACCCGCTGCTCAAGATGAGTGCAGCGGCCTTGGCGCCCGGAGTGGGGCCGGGAGAGCAGGGGGATGCTGTGCCTGAGGGAAAGGCCGGGTCAGGGCCCAGGAGGGCCAGCCCTGCACCTTCTCCCTTCCCTGGGCACAGCAGGCCCGGCCCTCCCAGAGCCGCAGCTGCCCCCCTGCTCTGGCAGGGCTCACGGCCTTGCCCTGGCTGAGCTTCCTGCCCTCCTGGGGGACTGGGACCCGGGCTAAGACCATCGCCTAGGGTCACAGTGCCCTCAAAGCCCACCCAGACCAGCCTCCACTTAGCTTCCTAGAGGCTCTGAGAGGTGTGGTCTAAGCACAGGCTTCAGAGTGGCCTCATCCCAGAGATGCTCTGAGAGGTGATCCCGCTGACTGCCTCCCCCAACCACGTGTGGAGCACAGGCTGCCTGTATTTGCCAGCAGACTGACAGGGCCAGGCAGGCCCCTGTGTCCCAGGGAAGCTACGGTGACCCCTCCCCCATTCCAGTCAGCATCATTCCACACGTCTGTCCTTCCTCTTTACTTGTCCCGAATCTGAGCCTCACTGCTTCACAGTCTACTTCCCATAAGGGAGCCAGGGTCGTCATTGCAAATGCCCTCTGTATCACCCACTGCTCTCGGGGTAGGTTTGGAGCCTTCCTGACCTAAGTGGTCCCCCCACCTCCTCTTGTGGACTTGCCTCTCCCCACCCCATCCCTTCTGGGGTTGGCCTTGTTGCCTCTGACCCCAGTACATTTGCATATGCTGCTTCCTCTGCCAAGAGCACCATCCCTTGCTGGTGAGAATTTGTTCTCATTTCTCAGCTCTCACGACCTTGGGGGCCCCCAGGCCACTTGGGCAGAGTACCCACTTGTGTGCCCTCTACTTCCCTGCCTTTCCCTGCAGGCCCCATCCTCGGCCCGTGAACGTGGAGCTGGTCTTGTTGCTCTGGGTGTCCCTCTGTGCCTCCCAACAGGATGGCAACTGTCCGATGGTTCGGACACACACCGGGCACCAACGCAGGCAGCTCTGCGCTGGGTGTGCGGGCTCGGGCGTGGAGGAGAGGCCCGGCCACTCTGGGCCTGGGGGGTGGCGGGCTCCTCAAGGGGCTTGGGCGGCTCAGTCTGAGAAGTCCTCCGAGGGACCTGCGCTGGGCTGGGTCAGCGTGTGCACACCAGGCCTCGAGCATGGGGAAAAGTGCAGCTCCCTTTAGTTCTCGCGTCTGATGCGGCCCTCGTCCCAGGCACCGATCCCAGGATAGAAGCACAAGTGTAATAAGTCTCTTCCTATTTAGAAGCTGTTGTCCTTGCCCACTCGGGCTGGGATGACACAGGACCATAGGCTGGGGAGCTTGAACAGCCTGAATTTATTTCTCGCATTTCTGGAGACTGGGAGTCCCAAGGTCAGGTGCCAGCTGACTCAGCCCCCGTGAGCGCCCTCCTCCTGGTTGGCAGATGGCCACCTTCTCACGGTGTCTCCGCATGGCAGAGAGAAGAGGCCAGCTCTCTGTGTCCCTTCCTGTGAGGACACTAGTCCCATAATGAGGGCCTCACTCTCGTGGACTCCTCTACCCCTAAGTATCTCCCGAAAGCCCTGTCCCCAGGCTGAGGACCAGCTGCAGTCATAGGGCCTTGTCCTCTCTGTGGTGGCCGTGCAAGTGGCCTGCCCTCCTCTCCTGCAGGCTAGCCCCCAGCCACCCTGGCCACATATCCCCAAGGTGCAGGGAGCCCATACCTGATGCACCGCCTGCTCTTGCTGTAGCCTGCTGTGCTGTACCTGGGCTCTCTGAAGCCACCCATCTGGGATGAACCTGCCCCTCCCAGGTCCCAGGCAGCAGGCTAGGGCTCAACCTCCCTTTGCTTTTCCTTCCCTCCCAAGGTCAGGGCTGTTTTGTGCCCTCCCTGGCCCCCCCACCCCCACTTGGGGTGAGAACTGGGGGTTCGTGTGGGGGGTGGAGAGAAGCTTGGCTGGTCGCCCCAGCCTGTCTCCCCTGCCCCGACTCCTCCCTCAGTCAGGGTCTTCATTTCTACACTGCAGTGGAACTCCTGACCAGGCTTTGCTCGGGATGGATGAAGCAATACTTTGGAGAAGGAAAGAGTCTTTTCTCTCGTAAGAAAAAACTGGCTTTTAAGGCTGTTGTCTCAGCATGGACTGAAAAGCCTAGTCTAACCCTCAAAACTGGGCTAGGGCACTGTGGTTTAGGGGCATGCAGCCTAGGACCCCGTGGGGAGCTGCAGGGTGCGATGGCTTTGCGGCGATGGAGTATCCTGCTCAGCGTCCCACCGATGTCATTCCGTTGCTCGCGTGTGGAGATGGTGTCCTCACAACAGCTTCACGAGACGGGGGCCATTGTCCTTACTTTACACAGAAGTTGGCAGAGCCTCCTAGGGGGCCTGGTGCCCTCCCAGGAGCTCTACTTCGTCCGCACGGGCCTGCGGGACGGCCAAGGCCCCAGGTTCACCCTCCGCAGGCTCAGGCCAAGCCCGCAGCAGGACTAACGGGGACTGTCCACGCTGCTGTGGGTGCAGTCAGTCGCCCCTCCTTACGGGAAGGCCAGGTGGGGGAACCTAAGTGCAACCAGAGGCAGATTTGCAGGACAGGAGTGCCTGGGCTGGGTGGCGATGCCAGCGGGGCCAAGTGTGCCTACAAGCTCTGCCCTCTGATGGCGGTGTCTTCTGCACAGCAGCGGTGGCAGCAGTCCCCAGGCTCCTCGCCCGGCCTGTCCCACATGCCTGTCCATCTCATCCATCACGATTCGATTTCCCTTGTCAACTGTCAGTTTTCCTGAAGTGTCTTCCTACTGTTTACAGGGAGCAACTACTATTGCTCAGATGTGGACTCTAAAGACTGGAGGGTGGGGAGCCCAGGCGCTGGCCCAACGTGGCCCCTGGAAGCGCAGTGTGGCTGGACCTGACTTTGCAGAGGGTGGTCGGCAGTCGGAGTGCGGGGAGGGGTGTGTGGCCGCTGCGCGCCTCTCCTCTCAGCGACCGTGGGTACAGGGGACCACCTTTCAGCGGCATTTCCCGAGCACCTGCCATGTGCTGCCCCGCCCTGAGTGCTGGGCATGCGGGCAGGGAAACGCAGGCCTGGTGCCACTGGGGGTTTGGGGGACACTGAGGGCTTGGAAGCAGCAGCCAGTGTTTGCTAAGGAGCAGATCAGACCTGGGAGGCCCTTCTGGAAGGACGTGCCTGCTGAGCTGGCCTCAAGGAGGAATGGGGTTTGGTCACCCAGTGAAGGAGGAGATGCGAGGAGCCATTCCAGGGGGACCCCGTCAGTGGGGAGGAGCCGTTAGCCCTGCCTGTGTTGCGGATGGCCACGCGGGCTGCGCGGAAGGGCATGTGTGCTCATCCCCATTTCTGTGCCATGGACCCACCCTTTTGACAGCAAGTGAAGCCCAGGGTGCCTGTTCAGAATGTTTGTAAACGGAAAAACTAAAACACATGTAAGAATCAAATAATGATGACACGCAGAGGAAGGCAATCACATGAGCACAGCTGTCACAACAGAGCTGGGAGGCACTTTTGTCATGTAGTTATATCTGCTCTTTATTAGCATATTAAAAACTTAGACCTGCTGGTGGGTCTATAAGGGCCCCATTTCCAAGTAGTGATGCACATGGGGACCCTCTGCCACCACGAGCACCCGGGGCTGCCCGTGCCGCTGGGGTTTGCTGCCCGTGTTCGTCCTGAAGGAAAGGCCACGTTTTAGTTAGTGGGGACAGTTGGCATGGGGCCTGTTTTCCTGTCCTCGTTTAGGCTTCTGGTGAAGAACCCCAGGCTGGAGTCTGGCGGGTGGCTGGGGGCGGCAGAGGTGTGGGGACAGTGTGGAGGGAAATGGAGAGGACCAAGCAGTGGGTCAGAGTCAGCGGCGTGGCTGGGTGCGCAGTGCAGGGAGAGGCAGGGCAGGGTGGGGGCCAGAGCTCTGGCCTGGGTGCTGGCGGGCGGAGGTTCCTACTGCAAAGCCAGAGCTTGCCCGGAGCTGTGGTGCCTGCTGATGCCTCCCGCTTGCTTTGCAGGTCAATGAGATCTATCACGACGAGTCCTTGGGGGCCCACATCAATGTGGTCCTGGTGCGCATCATCCTGCTGAGCTACGGAAAGGTCAGTGAGTGCCGTGCGCCCGGCCGGGCCTGCCAGACACGCCAGAGCCCACGTGGCAGGAATGGGACCTCCGCCAAGGCCACGCTGCCCCTCCCAGCCGCCCTATGGCTCCTATAGGAAACGAGAAATGCGGGAGCTGCCCCTAGATCCCCTCTCCCTTTCACCTTTACCCCTTGATTTAAAATGTAGGTTTTAGGCATGCTGTGCCACGGGAGGCCACGAGCGAGCTCCAGAGTCGGTGAGGAGGCAGAGGGAGTGGGGAATGTGGGCGGGAGGAGCCTTTGTGCAGGGAGGACTAGGGCAGGAAAGGTCAACCGGCCAGTTTGAGTAATTTCTGTGGGCTCTGGGGCCTGGGGCCGCCCCGAGCTGTCTGTTGCACGGCCCTGGGGTGGTTAAAGCAGGTGGACAGTAGCCCAGAATCTAGAGTCCCATAAGGGAAGTGGCTGAGGGTGCGGCGCTGGGCTTGCTGGCTGGTACTGGAAAGTGTGCAAGTGCTGACTGTCATTAGGAGTTGGCTAGCACCAGCAGGGTGGTCCCTCCAGGCTCGGCAGGGCCCCAGATGTCCAAGGATGGGGACTATATGGTTAATACACCTCTTCCTTCCATGCCTGCCCACATCTTAAATCCGTGCCCTCCTGTCCTCAGGCCTCAGAGCTTCTGCCCCAGCTGGGGCCTCTCACCCTCCCTGCCTCCTCTTGCTGTCAAACTTGGAACCCTCTTTCTGAGCATCGTGCATGGGTATGTGTGCGGGCCGCTGGGTAGAGACATCCGGGGACAATGACTTGGGATAGAAAAAGGGGTGCTGTATAGAGAGAAATTGTGAGGAAGGAGGAGCCCCATGGTTCGGCCAGTGTAGACTTCTCAAGTACCTGAACCAGGCATGTTGGAAGCACTTTGTGTGGATTAACACACTGAATCCACAGGGAAGACGGGGATATGTGCTATGTAGGTGCCCACCCCACAGATGAGAACATAAGGCTCGATGTGATTCAGTGGTGTGCCCGGGCAAGTGGCCAGGCCTTCTGGTTCCTGCGGAGTCAGGCTTCTCACCCAGGAGTCCGAATGCTCGAGTCTGTGTTCTGACTACACTCACTGTGTAGAAAATCAAATTATGGCAAGATCAAACACAGCAGATGTGCTAATTACATAAAAAGTTAAACTCCTCTGTTCAAAGACAGAGAATCTCAGTCTCGAAAATAAAATCAAACCACACACAACTTATAAGGCACTCAGTGTAAAAATGACAATGAAGTGCTGACATGGCAGAATGAATCCCAGGAAAAGTAGACCTTGAGCGCATTCTCCTTACACCTGCCAAGCATGTCGCTCTAAAGTGAGGCAGCCATAGGGGGGACACCAGTTGTGGACCTTTATGAACCCCAAGAAGATAAAATATTCCAAAGCAAATCATTAGAACAAAGAAGAAATTGGCAAAAACCTAACCATGGGAGTCTTTAATATCCTTTTCAAAGCTTTTAACAGATGAGATATTAAAAGGAATAGAAATTTAGAATAATACAAGTAAAGTTAAATTAGTAGTTATGTTATTTTTCCTTGTGCTACAGAAAAACAAAAAAAATGTACCTTCTTTTTGAGGAATCATAGAATTACAAAAATATTTTGGGTGATAAAGAAAATTTCAGTGAATTTTATACAATAAAAGCTATTTAGGCTATGTTCTCTGACTAAGTGCCCTGGAACTGTGGGCAGGAGTGGGGGTAGAATTTATAAACCTAAAAAAATCCAATCCATTTGAAAATTTTTTTTTAAAGTACAAGGAAAGAGAATATTAGAACTGCAGTTGCAGACTGGAAAATTAATAAAAACAAGAACACTACATATCAAATCTTATGGGATATGGCTAAAGCTGTATTCAGAGGCATATTCACAAATGTTTTCCAAAATCACACATAAAAGAATGAAAACAAGTTAACCCTGCATTCGAAGCAATATGCTAGCACTAATTTTAATAGCAACAGAACCAAAGAAACTAAGGAGAGCAAAAATAAGGAAATAATTTAGAAAAAGCAGAAATTAATAAATTAGAGAACAGAAACAATAGAATCAATCAAGAAGAGAGCTTTGGGAAAAGCAAACCTCTGGGATATTTAATCTAGAAAAAAAGATAAGAGGCTCACACTAAAAGTCTAGAAAGGATATTGTAACCTACACTGAGATGCAGAGGTGAAAGAACTCAGGGCCATCCTAGCTGGGATGCCCCGTGGTGGTGGGTGGAGGAGGGAGGTGCAGGCCCTTCACAGGCGGATGCAGGTAGAAGAGCTGGGAGAGGCCCCTGAGCCTCTGTCCCCAGTTTGTGGTGGTGGCCTTTGGACCACACAGACACAGGGGCTGGCAGTCTGGTTCCAGTGCTTCATACCCAGGCAGGGATCTTTGGACTGTCTCATGCGACTCTCCCTCACCTCCAGTGAAGTGTCCCCTCAGCATATTCCTCTCCTCCCCTCTCTCCAGTCCTCTCTCTGGTCCTCTCCCTCCCCAGGCCAGGTCCATCTGTTCCTGGCCAGGATCCTTTGGTGTCTTAGGAAGTTCAGACCTTTGGCCTGAGAGATGGGCACAGTCACATCCCCTTTTGGAAGTTTCCAAAAGTGGGAAACTTCTAGTCCTGGAGGTAGAAAGGGGAGAAAAGCCCATCAGAGTGACAAGTCTGGGTGCCGGATGGCAGCTGGCCTTTCCCCCAGTGGCTCCCATATTGATTAAAAAGAAAAATTCGAAAATTGTGTAGGGTTAGTTTCTCACCAGGGCTGGCACAGCTTTGGGTCGTAGTTGGCCTAAAAAGTGGCTTTCCCCTTCCCAGTCTTAACACTTAATGAAACAAAGCCTCCTTTATTAGCTGCTCCTTGGCGTGCTCTATGCTAAATTGTCCCTACCTTGAGCCACTTCTTTTGCTTTTTCTCTTTTTCCTTAACTGCCACAGGTAGGTAGGACCATGTGACCACAGTCAGAGCATTTGCAGAAGAGAGTCAAACCCTGAAGGTGACAATTTGAGGATCTCTGTGTCAGGGATCTGGAAATCCTGGGGAAATTGAGGATTTCCTGGGGAAACGTGAATATTTCAAAGCTGACTCCAAAATACGTAGAATACAGCATAAGCCCCATAATCATGGAAGGAACTCAAGTTCTTCACCTTTTCCAAAGTTATCCTAAAGTTACCTTTGAATACAGTCACATAATCTACTTTTGCCAGTGAATTCTTAATCATTTAAAAGGAATTATTAAGCAAAGATAATATAATACTCTATATTGTATAGAGTATATGACTCATATGTTCTGAAATCTACCCAATTCATTTTTTTGTAGTCAATGTGACCCTTAAACCCAAAGCTGCCAAAGGTTGCATGTCCAAGACAAAGCACAGAATGTCTCCCTTCTAAAAATAGAGGTAAAAACCCTAAGACATTGGGAGTTTGATTGAATAATGCGTAAAGAGAAACTTCCACCATGATCAAATAGGGCTTATCCTAGGGATGTGGAAATTGTTTGATATCAAGAAATCTCTTCATAAAATTCATCACATCAGTTTCCAAATGACAAAACTCATCATCTGACAAACCCTTTTGAAGGGCTGTGTGTGCTGGGAACACTCCCGGACACGCCTGTGCTCAGGCCCGCTTCCGGAAGGCGGCGCGGCCGGGAGGTGGGAGCGGGCGGCTCGGGCGCAGGGAGCTGCAGCGGCCGGCGGCTTTGCTTGCGAGGCCAGGGAAAGTGGCCGGGGAAGCGGTGCTTAGTGAGGACTAAGGGGTGTTCCAGTGAAGGGGAAAGCACCAGCCCAGGGGGCCCCAAGTGCACAGGCTGGGAGGGAGAGAGGGCAGACGGGGCTGCAGGGAAGAGCGCAAGGGTGGGGACAGCACGCCTGCTGCCACAGAGCCAGAAGGTGCAGATCCCAAGGAGCAGAGCCCCGCACCTCCTGCTGCGGAGTTTCAACAGAGCACGATGTGATGTGCACATCTAAGATGACCCCTGGCCTCCTTGTGTGGAAGTGGCAGGGGGAGCAGTGGCTCAGGAGGGTGCAAACGCCACCCAAGAGAGGATGATGGAGGCTGGACTGGGCCCGTGGCTCCAGGGATGGAGAAAGGAGGACAGAAGAGGCCAAATTGCGATGCGGGTGAAGGCAGAGGAGCACTCAGCCAGGTAGCTGGCGACGCTGGCCTCTGAGATGGGACAGGAGGAGAAGCGGTGGTGGGGAGAAGCTGAAGAGTTCAGTTGAGACATGCTGAGCTTGAGGTGTCTGGTGCCATCCAGCTGGGGTGGCTAGGAAGAGGCGGATGCGGGTCCGGAGCCCTGCAGGGAACTCTGGACACCGGCGGCAGGAGCTTGCTGACTGCGGGCGCCGGGAAGGAGGCTGGAGCTGGGCGAGGGGCGACTGGCTCCATAGCCCCGTGCAGGCTATCTCCTTGTTTTAAAAAATATAAGAAAACCAGAAACAGATGGTAACATAACAACCAAAATTTTATTTAAAAGTGGAAAAAGGAACACATTTCCCTAAAAACGTTCCGCACAGCTAATTCTTGGGATGGGAATAGATGTTTACGTGAGAAAACAGAGGGGCTCTGATCAAGTACGTCTGGGAGATGCAGAGGGAGACAGGCATTCCTGCTGCACAGCTGCCAGAGATGCTGCTGTGGAAATGGGGACTCTTGGGGGTGGGCCAGGACACAGCCCCTCAACCCCGTTTCTCAGAGGAACCCGCTTCCCCCCGTCATTGCATCGTGCAGAGCTGGCTTCGGGAAGTGCCCATGCGGGCAGCCACAGTGAAGTCAGAAACAAAGACAAGACACGTGGACTTGTCACCGTGATTCTGGATATTCTAGTAAGTTTCATGTGACATGAAACTAATATTGGGAAAGAACAAATTATAATTGTTCTTTATTAATTATATATCTGGAAAACCCAAAAGAGTCCATTGTAAAACCTGTAGAGTTAATAAAGGAGTTTAGCGACATGGCCAAATATAAGACAACTATAGAAAAAAATCAATAACTTCT